AGACTTGGTCTTCACTTAGAAGTCAGATCAACATAGCTATCTCAGTCAGGGGTGTGAAAAAACTACGCCCCAACAGACGTCACTATGCCAACCTAACCCCAGGGTAGACTCAGCTATGTCAATGAATACTTCCATCAACCTAGCTACCGTTGTTCAGGGAGGTGATGTTTCTATACCACTGCAAAACCCCTTCAGTTGCTGAGTCTACACTGTGCAGTTATGCTGGCATAGCTATAGGGATGTGGCTATGCCAATACGGTCTCTGCAGTATAGATATACCCCAATCTGTGACAATGAAATTCCTGCAGTTGTAATTTCCCTAACAGAAGGGTAAACAAAGTGTGCCGTACCATCCAAATGTGGCTCAGAGGTCTCTAATGCAGCTTAAAGCTGCCCATACAGAAGCTCCAGCATGCAATGCTTCATTTTGCTTCAAGTGGCCTCACTGGGTGCACGCACAGACTTAACAGTCTGAGCACATTATTTGACAAAGTGAGAATACCTGTACTCTGCTTTATTCTCTGCAAATTTAGGTTTGATCCTGGCTGTCAGCAGTCAATGCAACCTCTGGATACTTCCTCGGGCATGTAAGAATGAAGAACATGTTCATTCTCTAAGCTCTTTATAACATCTGTTTTCTCAGAATGAAATACTAAAAAGATATAGAACCTCACTGGGTGATGTGAAATGATTTGTGACTGAAAAGGACACATACTTGGTTTGGTAAAAAATTTTTTAAAAAAAGAAGAACATACCTGCTCTGCCCATCCCTCTGTTTTGCAGTTACTATGATCAAATTCTTTCAGAGGCACTTTTGAATGAACTAAGCTTATTTGGGTCTGAAGCCTCTGAATGACTGCCTTAACATCCTGGTGAAAAAAGGATATAAAGCAGACACTGTAGAAGAGCATTTGATCATGCTGTATATATGTAACAGACTTGGGTGGAAATTCTGTTTTACCTTGAGACCTGTTTCAGAAATATCCAAATAATTCAGCTTCTTGAAAGAAAAAAGGTACCCAATTCCCGTATCAGTGATTTCAGGGTTACCTATAAAATCAAAAGGTTAGATTAAGTTGCATGACTATATAGGTGTGTTCTGCAAAACCGATTTTTTTTTTTTTTAAGTATTAAAATGTAGGTGTGGGAAAAAGAACAATACAAATGTTATACTAGCAAGCAACCAATTATAAAATATTTACCAAGGGAATAAGCTATTCCGGCACATTTATATTAACATGCTCCATGTTTTGAAAGTTATTTGAAACTGATTTTTTTCTCTTCAGAGCAAAATTAAGCTTTCATAGACAGCTTCAATTAGGTTAAGCATTATAAATATATAAGCCATACTTGTGCATATGTAAATACACATTTATTGCACACGAAAACTAATGTTCTTTTAATGTAAGGTTGCAAAGTCAAGCACCAAAAGATAGGAAATGCCAGGGTTGAGGCTGCCTATGCAACCTTAATGCAGTCCCGTGAGGTGTATGCATTATGAGCCAGTGTTTAATTACATGGTTGCATATTTTTCATTTAGTGCATGGAATGGAGGCTGCTCACTTAATGAGCAACTATTCAATATTTTCTTTTCTCCTTGTTGTTCAACGTGTGGCCTATACTTTATTTACTGCATAATATTCAAACCTATTCTGAAGACAGAAATATTTTTCTATGGCACTTATCACAATAGTGTAAGTGCTTCACACATTTGTTAATGTTCACAACATCCTTGTGAGAAGAGGGGGAATTATTATCCACATTTTACAAATGAAGTACTGAGGCAGAGATTAAGCTCAAAAGTATCCACGCATTTTGAGTGGCTAATTTGAAACAATTAGGACCTGATGTCAAACTATTTAGCATTATATAGCACTTTATCTAGTCAAAGCTCCCAGTGACTTCAGTTGTAGCTGTGAATGCTTAGCACTTCTGTAAGCCAGTCACCAGGGTTTCAGGTCAGGCACCCAGAAAATGAGGAACATGCAAATAAATAGTCACCTGTGAAAAGTCAGACTTTTCACATCTTGCCCATTATCACACAGGAACAGAATCCAGTTCTCCAGCACAGTATTCAACTACCTTAATTGAGAGACTGTCCCTTCTCTTTCTGTAGCCTCCTGCCTCATTAACTACACATCATCCAACTTTTGCAAATGAAGCAGGGATCCGACCAACATCAGTCTCTTTCAAAATACAACCCTGACTCATTCCCAGAGCAGGTCCATGCAGTGCACTGAATGAGGCAGGGGTGCTGTGGGGAAAAAAATAGTAAGTGCTCATGTAATTAAAGACTATCATATTGCATACTCACAAGGGGGCCAAATTAGGGTTACACAGACAGGAAACATCAGAATTAAGGCTAACTTTTGAGTGCTTGACTTTGCAACCTGAAGTGTTTTTAAAGTAGCATTTTGTATGCAATTTCTTAGGTTTCCTAAAGAAGCAAAATAGAAAAAAAAATTTAATCAGGCAGCTTCCTCCTTCATACTGCCTGGTCCAGTGGGGGCAGCATTGAGAGCACGGGGGAAACAGACTCCCTGATCTCACTTCAGGTGCTTAGACCCTGCATGGCGCAAAGCTGCAAGTGCAGGGAAGGTTCTGCTCAGCACAGATGCAATTGTAGGGAATTTAACTGCTAAAATCTAAAAAAAAAAAAAAAAAAAGTGTCTAGTGAGCATGTGCAAACTGGACTTTTCAAAGGCTTATAACTTGGCAAAATTTGGGCAGATTTTCAACATGGTCAGCAAAAGGCACATCCCTCAAAGGCCACCATCTTCCAAATTTCAGGTCCCTGTTCCAGAGCATGGAGGTGATAGAGCTTTTCAAAGCACAGGTAGCCAGAATTTTTTAACATGGGCAAAACAACATTTTTTCCTAGCCTTGTTCTTGGAAATGGCTGAATTCTTCTGGAAAACTTCAGCCAGAATCAATCAGCCTAAATCAGACACCGAGCATAGAATATTTCACCCCAAATAGATAAAGTTTGGTAAAGTTATAAGCAACTGAGATCACATGATAGGAAGTGACAGGCAACCTTCATAACAGCTAGTGCTGTGAGCTCCACCGATAATCAGTATCCTTTGTTAATGTCAAGTTCGGAAAGTTTTCTTTTGATGTTGTATTTGAGACTAAGATGATGGTCACCTTAGTCTTGTTCTCTGTGTAAAAAGTTTACATGTTGAATAGTCCCCACCCTAGCAGAAAGACTAGACAAAGGATGATATTGTCAAGTTCATGTCATATTTATTAGTAGTAAAATACAAAACTTAGATTATAAATTCAGTGCTGAGTCACTCAGCTTGGATATTGACTAGTTCAAGTTCCATTTTGGAATGCATAAACGTTCATTTAAATGGTGTATTTATGCCAATCAAGGGCCTGATTTCTGCTTTCACTGACTTCGGTGCAGCAGGATAAGGCTATAGGTGCAACATGTGAATTCTGGCAAGCTGTCAATGAAGTCCTTGTTTTGGACTCCTGATGTTGGAGCTAATTTTGAACAATTGTTTCCTTTCAATATTAACTAGGAGGAACCCTAGATGAGAAGTAACTATGTGTTTCTAAATGTAAATTGGGGCACTTTGACATACTTACAAGACAAATCTAATACAGAAAGATTTTCAAGTCCCCTTTTCATCACTCGAACTGGCGCTGTCATTTTGCGAAGGCCTGCATCTGACAAACAATTATCCTTCAGGAGGAGCCGAGTTACACTAGGATAAGGAATGTAAAGTTAGTTTATAAAGGAGTAATTTCAAAGTTTTTAATAAAATTGTTAGCATTTCCTGTGAATCTTCCCCTAACACCTGCTCAATCTACCACTCCTTTGCTGATATTAAAAGGACTAATAAAACAAGAGGCCTCTGGTATTTTCCCTGTTCCCTCTGAAGGCTCTGCTGAAGTAATTACCTAACAAACTATTGCCAAAATTTCACTGACACAGGCAACACTAGAACACAACAGCTTGATGACACAGGCAATAAGATTCTTTGTAACTTGAAGTTAAGGACAATTAGGCTTGTCAATTTCAACCCCATTCAAAACTGGAGAAGGAAAATCCTTGCTTGACATATAGGAAAGGACAAAATTGGTAGGAGATACAAGGAAGGGTTGCAAAGAAGAATAAATGAAATCCTCCAAAATTTATAGATATACTTCCACAGCATCCCTTTAAAACACAACCTTGAATCAAATGCATGGAAGTCTTATGTAGTAACAACAGTTATTAATTAACAAACACAATTAACCCATCTAATAAAGTTCCACAATATTCTACCTTTTAGATCTCTGGAAGCTTGAAAAGACTGTTATATAAACATTTTAGCAAACACATACTGGACAAAATATGTAAATTAGGAATGTCTCATGCTGACATACTGATTCAGTTAAAATGATTATTTTGATAAAGTTTTCTCCCAAAAAATCAATAAGCAAATTTAATAGGGAAAGTCTACAGCAGTTGGAAATTAAGTTTTGCAATAATGAGTGTATACTATAAACAGAAAATGAAAAATATACAAAACAATTGGTCTTTATGTTGGATAGTAGAGTACTTTTACTTCAACTTTCATAATTGTAGATCATGTCTAAAGACTCAGTACATGCCTGGTATCATGCAATTTGTTTTATTAGTTCTGAGGTATACTTTTTTCACCTGAAGAAGAGAATTTATAAACAACTAAAAACCCCAATAAAAGTGCTTGTTGCCTGTGAAACTTTCCTTTAAAGAGACAGTGTGATTCTGTGAATTTCTTGGTGATGGAAAAGAAAATGCTGGTCAGTTATACATATAAATAAATTGGTACCTAGACAGAGCTTCTTTGGTGATATGTTCTAGCAATTCATGGTTATCTCCAAGTTTACAACAGGAAAGATCCAAGCAGGTCAGCTCCCTGAAAGACTTAATTTCTTCAAGTTTTTCAGAAATAACCAGATATCTGTAAAGAACAGAAAGCTATCAATGTTTAGATGCACCAGAGGTATAGTCCTAGAAGGTGCCTACTCTCTGCCATGTGAAAAATGCCCCAAATGAGCACAGTCTCTTCATTATCTACCCAGGCTGCAGTCCATGTGGAACACATGCTCAAGTACTTACTCAATGTCTTATACCAACATTGTGGCTCAGATCTGACTCAAAAAGTACTTGCTCTGTAACCAGTAACTTCAACTTGCAAAGACAGCTATTATGTCTAGATCTCAAGCTATATCAGTCTAATTCCAGCAGCACTGCTTGCCAAATGGTAAAACTGACATTTCATGGCCATAGACAAAAACCTTGATTAGTGAAATAAAGAGAACACAAGGATCCTACAACAGAAGCCATCTTTCACCCACGAAAAGGGCAATTCACAAGTAAAAATAACAGGCGTACTTGTGGCACCTTAGAGACTAACAAATTTATTAGAGCATAAGCTTTCGTGGGCTACAACCCACTTCTTCGGATGCATATAGAGTGAAATATATTGAGGAGATATATATACACACATACAGAGAGCATGAACAGGTGGGAGTTGTCTTACCAACTCTGAGAGGCCAAGACTGGCAAAAAATTTGATCATTCGGAGGATGAAGTGACACCTGGTACATGTGATGTTTTTTATTAAAACTTTCCTTTATTGCTCATGCCACCTTTGGCATCCAAGAATGATGTGCCTATATGCTTTGATTTATACTGATTCATATTTAAAGGACTGAGAAGTCCATAAACTGTGTGAATGTACCAAAAAAAAACCCCCTAAATTGTTATAGCATAGGAAGGTACTTCACCAGGGACAAGGTTTTAGAGGGGTATAATCCTATTTTAAGCCTTGTAAGGAGAAATGTTTCTTGTTGAGTTAGAACTTGTCCAGAGAAGAGTGGAGAGGGAGAACATCCCTGGTCAAGGTGTATTTAATATGGAGGGCATGCAACACATCTAGATACAAATAATAATTAATAAAATGTAGTACTAGTCTTCTGTCTTCAAAACCTGTGATATAATTACAAGACTATCCTTTTCTCCCCTATACCTTGTGGTGCTGATACCTTTAAAACGAAATGCAATTTCCCAGTGGGACTGTGTGCTAGAACGTTTTGCTGCTATACAAGTCAAAATAAATGTTGAAATGCTTACAGAAAAGGGTTTTTATTAGTTCAGAAACAATTTAATTATTAACATAACACCCCTGTGAGGTAGGTAAGTTAGACAAGCTTGTCTCTCTCACCAACAGAAGGTCCAATAAAAGATATTATTACCTCACCCACCTTGTCTCTCTAATACCCTGGGACTGACATGGCTAAAACTATCCTGCAGACAATAAGGTAGGTATGTTCTGAGGATTAGGTTTTAAAGCACCATACAAGTACTAAGTGTTAGCATGTTAAAAATAAAGCTGCAGGTTTTATCCTTCAATTCAGGTTGCAGAATGTGTTCGTGTGGATTTGGAGGATTAACTGGCAGTATTAGGGGTTTTGCATTACAGATACAAGAATTAAACCAAATGCTATTTATCAACAATACTTTATGGAATGAACAAATATAATTTAATAATCCAAATCAAGGAACTGTTTATATTTAAGTAAAAAAATGGAAACACTTAAGTAAAAACACTGGCAGAGCCTCACACATTTATGTTACTGAATGCACTTACCTATTCTGTAAACATAATGAACAAAGCACCAGACTTCCATAAGCCTCAGTAAATTTTTGTAGTGCTCTGAGTCCTGTAACTGGTTCTGTGAACTTTTGCCTTGCTTCTGCAGCAGAAAAAAGCTTTTCAGCAATCTGCTCTGGAAAGCCAATCAACGAATCAATATGATCAACATTGTCAGAAATGTAACCCAACACTAGGCCGAAGAGAGACTTGGCTGAGTACCGGAGATTCCCCTCCTTAGTATAAGTAAAGATGAAATGATCTGTTCTCTCTCTCCTTGCACTGTCATCATCTCTGTTCATACAAAGCTCCACAGAGAATCCTTTGGAAAATAGTCTAAAAGGCCTTGGTTTTGGAGTGGTATTTTTTACAGTGCCAGAACCCTGATTTACCATATACAGGTGCCCATTTTCACGCACATATATTGGGCCTGTATCCAAAAGGCTTTCTGACTTGAGGCAGTAAGACATTCCCCTTTACAGTTTCTGCAAAAACAAAAGGAGAGAGATAAATAATTGGAACAAATTATACTATTTTGGAAATATATCAATTCCAAGTTAATTTCCTTTGGTGCCCTAGGCAGCACATGATAGTGTACCCATACGGTATCGTGAAAGCGTGGCTGCGTATGATACATATACACTCCAGCTGCCAGCAAAACAAATATGGGGACTAGAACTCAGGACTTTTGCTTCAGAATGACAGGTCTTTTCCACACACAAGTACTCCTTGATCATCAGTACTAACATGGTGTTGCTCTGATTGCATTTAGCAGAGCACAGTGCTCGCTATACCTCACACACTACAGTACTCAGTACATTACAACTGTTGCATTCATATAGTCCTGTACGTTGCACACGGGGCCTGCCCGTTAAAATGATGATCGATTAGGGGCGGAGGTAAATGGTGAGAGCGCTACAGAAGTTTGTCTCGGGCACCCTCTCCTTGCTCAACGCTGCAGACCTGGCGGCGGGGTTTTCATCTGCACGGCCATGACACGGGCTGGGCCTGCAAACGGGGACATGTCTGCCCCCGCCCCTCGCGTCTGCCCCTTTCGGCGGCGCGGCGCGGCGCAGCGGGACCCGGCTTTGTCTGACGCTGGGATGGGCTCGGCGCAGCCACCTGGCGGCCACGGACGGTCGGCGGCTGTTTTCTGGGACGCAACAGGCGCTGCTCGGCCCGGGGGGGGCTCCTGCGCTGAACCGTTCCCCAGCGGGGCGTTTCCTGCCCCTCTGCTCAGGGCCGTGCCGCGGGGCGCAGACAGGCCAGGCCGGGGGGTGTCCAGCCGCGGGCTCAGCCCAGCCGGCCCCGGCCCGCACAGCCCCTCCCCGGCGCTGGCCGTGCCCGGCTGGGCCCCCTCAGCCCGCCGCTGCCCACATCGGGCGGGGGCCGCTCCCAGGCCTGGCCCCTTGCCGGGGCAGGTCCGTGCCCCTCAGCCCCGCTGCTGGCGGAGCAGCGCCCCCTTCCCCGGGCCGGGTCCGTCGCTCCGAGCCTGGGGCTCTCGCGGGCGCTGGGAAAGTTTCCCCGGCCCCCGAGCAGCTCGGCCCGAACCCCCCGACCGTCACCTACCTGGCCCCGGGCACGGGCCGTCCCGAGAGCCCCCGCTCGGCGCGGCCGCTCGCAGGGGCCGGGGCTCGACGCAGGCCAGTCCCACCCCGGGAGCGCCCCGGGGCCACAAAGGGGAGAGCGGGGGCGCGCCGGGGGAGCTGAGCCGGGGGAGCGCGCGTGCGTGCGCGGGCTGAGAAAGCGACGGGGAGCCCCAGGCGGGAGCGCGCGGCGTCTCCACCCGAGACAAGAGGCGAGTCCCTGAGCCAGGGGCGGGGACCCAGGGGAGATATGGGGCTGGGGTGACAGGATAATAGAGGGACATGGGGAGGGGCTGTGGGAGGGAGCCCGGGGTATGGGGCAGGGATGTGGGGCATTGGGGGGGCGCTCTGGGATTTGGAGGGGATGTG